CCCCCCCCCCGGTTCCCTCCTTGGGATCCAGTTCTCGTCCATGTTGTAGGTGGTTTTCCAGAGGTGGGGTTTTAAGGGCCTGATCCTAGATCGATGGCTTTATAAAGAGGATTGCACCAGTTGGAAAGCTGGGTCAGCATCATCAGGCCCTAGGAAAATATTTGCTTTATAAATGCACAGCCGAATGATGGCTCTTGCCGTAAAGACTGAGCGGCCTGCCCATCCCCTAGCATCTTTGATCCTCTGCCAGAGCCTGGAAGCAACTTCTGACCCGGCAATCCCCAGCCTGAGGAGGTGCTGGGACGGGTGGAGGGGAGCCTGCTCCACCTTTCCCTCCTCATTCCTTTTTATTCAGATCACAGCATCATTATTAACAATGAAGTTTTTATACTTTACAGTTAGCCCAGCCAGGTCATGATGTGCTATAAATCTTTGACAAGTCAAGCACTACTTCTTGCTGGGTACAGTATATGCTTGGCCCCATTAAGAATAATAGCATGAATAACCATAAGCCATTAATTTTGACGAGATCAGGCCCATATCACCTTAAAAAGAGTGCACTGATACCATGGGAGATATTTGGCAATTTCCTCTGTTCACTCCCTTAACGAATAAAAATATGGAAGTAGCTGCAGTTTGCCTGGCAGACAAGCACCCAGAGCCCACGAGAAAGTTCATCCTGTCAGCGCATGCGAGGGGAAATCGCCGAGAAATTACTGCCGGCGCGCCAAGGAGTCGCAGCCGTGGAAAGAGGCACTAACTGCACCCCGCGCGGACCAGCCCGAGGTCTGGGAAAGGCCTTTTGCAAGGTGAGCAGATTTATTTCCTGCAATTATTAGGAATAAAAAGCCTCACTTTCTCAACACAGTCTAGTGGAAGGTGTCCCTGCCTGTGGCAGGGGTGTTGGAACTGGTTTGAGATCGGCCAGAGGTAAACCCATAAAGATTCCCAGACGTTAGAGAATCTCACTTTATGGAGAGGCAGCCAGAACCTACTGTCCACCCCCAAAATGTTGGAAGTATCCCCCTCCTTAGCACCCACTCGTACCACGTTCTCGTTAGCTCGGTATGTCGCTCGCTAACACCTTGCTACTATCTGCGTGTGGGTTTGGGTGCTTGTAGCTATTTTCAGACTTCTCTTAGAGAATAGATCTCTTTTGTGTTTTTTCTCTGAAATAAAAAAAAAAAAAAAAAAGAAAAAAAAAAAAAGTCAGGCTGGGACAGTTTGTTCCTTTGATTTTCAAATGCTAAAGGTGAAAAAAAAAAAAGGAAAATAAAAAGTGGAGGGAGGGCAGGAGGAGAGTTGCTGTCAGAATCCCACATGTAGACAGCGTGCTTTGTAAGGCTGCAGGTATCTTAGCTGCTGCTGTCAGTTAAAGCAAGGCATTGTTTTGTTTAAAAGCAGCATCTTTCCGCGTTAAGTATCTCTGTGCAAGGCTGTTGCGTGTTCGCTGGCTACGCCGAGTTCCTCATCAAAGCAAACGCTGTCGTGCCGGCACCGAGGGAAACAACGTGCAATTATGAGCTTTTCTCCTCCCGTCTCTTCTTGTTTCCAGTGCTCCTCTGGGATCCACAGTGGAAATGAGGAGGGCAGGAATGGCAAAAATGTATATATTGTGTGATGGTAAAGGAGCCTTTGTGCTTGATTTAGAGGTTGATGGATGCTATCGCAGCACACGTGTGGATGCCTCTTTATATTATGTGGGTAAACCCGATGGGCTGCAGGTGTGTGACCTTGTTCTGCTGGGTCCGGGACTTTTTGGAGGGGGTCCTGCTTCTGTCTGTGTGCAAACCTCTGTGCTGTCATCCCTGGAGCATGGCAGAAGCCCTCGGTACCTCCTTGTAGAGAGGGCCACGTCCATGTGAAACTTTCATAGAACCCTAGGACGGTTTGGGCTGGAAGGGACCTCAAAGCCCCCCCAGTGGCACCCCCTGCCCCGGGCAGGGCCCCCTTCCCCCAGCCCAGGGGGCTCCCAGCCCCGTCCAACCTGGCCTTGAGCGCTTGAACACTTTCAAACCAGCCAGCCTCATGGTGGTTTCAAAGAACTCATGGATGAGTTTTACATCAACTCCGCCCTCGATGTAAAAGCAAGCAGGAGGCGTGCTAACCGGGCACCTGCTTTTTCTCTTCTTGTTTTTGTTTCTGCACAAGATAAATGCATAAATGTCTAAATATTTGGGTTATGGCTCACTCCTCGTATGTTTTCCCCTGAACAGTGTTTCCTGTGGTTAAAGAGCCAGGCTTAAGGCAAAGGCGAAAGGATAAAAAGGTTTTAACCTATATAATTATTTCATAATGAGCCTCTGGTTTCTGGGCTTTGGTATCTACTTGTTCCTGTTATTCTTAGGTATGAATTCAGCAGTGACGATTTTGTCGCAGTGGCCTACTGCTCACTTCTTAGGTTGTGCCAGAAATCTGTTGGGTTTCCAGGTAGTTTTCTGTTCGAGTATTTGGCAGGCCATGAGCAGCCAATCTCCAATCAGACAAAAGTCAGATCTTTCCCTCCGGTATGGCTGTCGTCCAAGCATTTCAATAGGTGATTTCCACTAATTTGCAGAACTGTACTGTTAATTACATGAAAGATTTACTTAGAGCTACCCCTTCCGTAGCGTCCTTAATGCCTGCATTAACATTGCGTCTCATTTGTAATCCCTGGTCAGTCCGTGAGGTTTAGATGATGTAGCTGTTGCCCTCTGGTTGCTAAAAACACGCCGCACGGTGCAGAGCACGGTGCCTCCCAGCTGCTCTCAGAAACTGGGCACCACTGAAACAAGGGGTTGAGGCCGTCGAGTCCCTGTGAGTTGAGGTGAGGTGGTTCAACAGCAAATCCCTTTTTGCTGGGAGGTGTGGGCTCTGCAAACCACCCTTAAACACCCCCCGGCCTGTACCCAGCCTCCTGCACCTCTGATCTTGGTAGCCTCCATCTTCCTAATATCAACCTTTATCATTTTTCATTCTCCTCTTCGTTTACCAGAGGATGAGGATGATGATAAGCAACTGCAACTTTCTTCCCACTTTTGGGGAACTCTCGCTCCCATTCTTAATTTTTCCATTAAACTAATAACTCAGCTTTGATCGGAGCATCCTTACAGGACACAAGTTATTGTGTTCCACCTTGTGCAAAACAAATTCCCTGCGGTCCCGTGCTGGTATGTCTCTGGGGCAGTTACAAGCACAGCTTGGATGCTCTCCGTCGGGCAGGCTTTCCTAAAGGCTCCCGGAATTGCAACTGGCAACTTATGGAAAGAGTAAATCTTCCTCCCATACCTTGTACTCAGCCACAAAGAGCTGCAGCGGGCAGCGGCACCGGCACCGATCCAGCTCCTCTCTTCGGTGCCCGCGTCAGGCTGTCCGTCACCAGCACAATTTCACACTCAATTTCAGTAATTGCTTGGCATAATTTCTCTCAGGTGAAGAGTAGGAAGATGGTTGTGCTTCATCAGAAGACTGACTGTTCATCATGAGAGCTATCTGACACCAGGACACTGCTGAATTTGTTCCCGTCTCCCGTAGGGCACCTGCCCAGCACACAGGCAGAACAAGAGGGACAGCAGAAAAAAAAAAAAAAAAAAAAGAAGCAAAATTCAATTACCTGGTGGCTTCCCGGCTACGTGCTCGTTTTCAAAATGGTTTATTGAGAGTTGCACCCACCATGGGCCAGGTGCTGGGCCAGGACGTGGGACCTGCCCCGGGGAGCTGCTGGCCTGTGATGGGGCACGGTGGAGCAGAGGGGACTGTAGCACTGGTGGCTTCGTCCCGCTCAGGGGACCAGTATCCAGCAGGCAGACCTGCTCCTGCTCTCCTCTCTGCTGCGTTTAGTCAAAGCTGCCGAGCACAGCCAGCACGCCCAGCCGCAGGCTTACCTCTGCGGAAAACCAGCAGGCAGATGGACCTAAACCCGGTTGTTTAGGTGCAAATGCCTCGTTGTCCGGTTGTGCTATGGGTCACAATGGAAAGGCACGACATGGCTGAAGCCAGGCACATGCAGGTGCCAAAAAAAGAAGGGAGAAGAGAAAAGAAAAAAAAAAAAAAAAAAAAAAAAAAAAAAAAAAAAAAAAGGGTGAAAGCTGATCTGGACTCATCAATAGCCTGATGCACATCCTTGCCCAGGCTCCAAGTTGAGAAAACACAGCGATGATCAGCACACAGGTCAGGATTTCACAGAGCTGCCCAAGGAGGATTTACTCTAGCTTTTCCCTGACAAGAGACAGAGGTATAAAAAGAATACAGTGACTTCTCTTCGAACAACGGCTGCATAAAATATTGTTCATCAGGGCTATAAAGGTTGCCTCAGTAGAGAAATTTTGGCTTGGTATTCCTTTGGGCAATGCATTTGTGAGTTTATTGAAGGCAAGGAGCAAGGGGCTGGTGATGGGCAAGGGGCAACACAGCACCCCCCCACCATTCCCGGTCTTTTTGCATCAGCTTTGAGTTGCCTCTGATTGCTAGAGGTTTGTAAAACAGTTGGAAGCCATCCAGTGTTGTGTTATTATACCTAGTGGGCACTAAATACCTTTGTGTGGCCATATCACGCTGACGGCACACTCCCCCTCTATCGTTGTGCTGCACAGAAAAGCCACGTATCTAACGTGCGATGCTTGGCACTACGAGCAAGCTGAAGGATGAAGAGGGGTTAAGCGACCATCACGAGACCCGACAATCCTCTGCCTCACTTCTGGCTGTCACCAGATGGTTAAGAGAGGGTCAAGCCTGAAATAGTTTGCTCTACAATAACCTGACGACAGGGAGAGTTTCCCACCGCTGATTATTTCTCGGTCATCCCTGTAGAAGGCCAGGAAATCTTGACTAGGGGCAGATCCCGGTGTGTATTCGGCCCGTGAATCCTGTCTCCTATTTATAGGCTGCAGAAATGGCTCAAAGCTCCAGGATTCGTAAGGGCCCCCCATATTCTCTGCTGATCGCCCACTTCCACCTCTTCAAATAAATCAGTTGCGTCCTGAAAATCCGAGCAAGTGCTGGGGAAGGAGACTGGTGAATAATTGACGTAACAAACGAGATTTTTATTTAGTTGGGAGCTTGTTAGGTTACATTTGCATAGCTACGATGTCAGATTCATTATTCACGAGCATAAACTGCAGTGACCCCCACCCTCCCCACTCGCACAGACGTTCGCGAGCACCGGCTCCCCGAGTCCCAAGATTAGACATTTTTCTTGCTGCTTTAAGCAATTTCTCTTTAAAAGGAGCACGGCAGAGTGACAGCCTGATTTTTTATTCATGTGTGGGTCTTTTCAAGGCATAACGTTTACCACGGTACATAAAAATCAGGCTTGCAGGTCGGGGGGAGAAATGACTTAAGCAAATGGTGTTTAAGAGGAGTTTTCGGCGGCGGGTGTTGACAGGGAACAGGCATGTCCCTCCCGTGGTCCCGTCCCTTCTCGCCCGACCCAGGGCCGGTCCTTGCCCATGGGGTGACACACGTTGTGCCCCGGGGAACATGGAAAAAAATCCCCCCGGGGTCCCCAGGAGGGGCTGGGAGGGGACTGGTGCCCCGAGCCGTGAGACCGATTTGCGTTCGTGTCTCCTAAGCAGGGGGACTGGGGAGCCCGTCCCACGGCAGGTGTTGCTGCTGGGAGGAAGGGAGTTGCTACAGCCCTTTGGAGGACAGACTGATGGTGCAAAAGGATCCTGTTCCCCAGAAAAATGGGCTGGAGTCGAGAGGATAAGGGCAGGTGGGTGCAGAAATACTAAATGGGGGAAATATCTGGCGCTGAAAGGGAGCAGGAGGTAACAGCACAGCCCGCAGAATAAGCCAACACCATGATGCTTGTGCACCGCTGGAAAAAAAAAAAAAAAAAAGTAGCAAAAAGTAAATGCAGAAGGGGATTAAGCAGCCCATAGTAGGAAAGACGTGGGGGGGGGGGGTCACCATCCTGCTCGGTGCTGATGAGGGCTCGGGGTCACCACAGGTTTGGAAAGATGTTGGCAGGCTGGGGAGCATGCCGGGGGGGGAGGGAACGGGCAAAGCTGTGCTGGCAAGGAGGAGGCAGCAAGACTGCAGCAGCAGGACAGGCAGACTTGAAGTGCAGGACAGACAGACTTGAAGTGCAGGACAGACAGACTTGAAGTGCAGGACAGACAGACTGCAGCGGCAGGACGGACCGCGGCTTGAAATATCTCCACGTGTTGCAAAGCCACCGATCAGATGTGCTCCGAAACCACTGAGGCAATGATGGTCTTGGGTTAATTTGCAATTCCTGGAGTTGCATGGGACCACGGTAGGAAAATCCTCCCGGGAAAAGACGCCGAAGCCCTTTCACAGGACCCTTCAACGACCACCTCTCCAGGATGGGCAGGGCTGAGTCTTCCTCAGCACGGGAGGAAGAGCAAAACGACCTTGGGCTCCAGGAGGAACGAGCGTCAGAACAGCTCCCTCTATCAGTACGTGGCCTGCAACAGAGAAATAAAAAAGATATTTTTGAAGGAGCCTTGCATTGTTTCAGGACACCATTAGCATTTTGAGCACCAGGAGGGGGGATCAGAAGCTGTTCTGGGAGGCGCTGCCAATCAAACGGTGATTTGCTCTCGGCGTGAGGCACTCTCCTGCTCTCTTACCCAAAAAAAAAAAAAAAAAAAAAAAAGTAATCAACACAAACGATACTAAGAAAAGTAATTAAACATCTCAAAAATGCTAGAGATTGCATTTAGCATGTGACAGGCACAAAAGAAAGATGCTGAAAGGGAGCATTTCCAGTAGGCAAAAGCGAGACCGTGATAGGATGCTAATTGCTGGATTTCTTGACCTTTTCTTGCCGTTCGGCGGCGAATAGAGACAGGAACGCGCCAGCCCCGCTTCTCCCTGCGCCGTCACCTCTCTGTGTCCCTTCACAACTCACAACGGGGGGGGGGGGAAGGCAGCGGCAGGGCCGTGACACTGTCCTTGCCCCCACCTCCTGCCCCCGGGTCTCACTCACAGCGACTTCCCTCCCTGAAAAACCCTGCACAGCATCAGGCAGGAGGGAATTTAAACCAGAAAACAGCACAGGCTCCGGGCTGAGTTATTTCTCGGGGGGTCTGGCTCAGATTTGCTCTGAATTTTGGCTGCTCGCAGCCTCTCCAAGCTCCCCCCTCCCCGCAGAGAGGGAAAACACGGCGTCTTCAGCGCCGGATGGCCAAATTACCAACCTGAATGAAAACCTCTCTTCTGTTATCAATTTAATCAAAGGGAATGTATTCTGGAGAGGCGTGCGGTCGCTTGTTATGAGCAGAAACCTACCGTAAAGCTTCTTTCCGTTCCAGCAGCAGAAAGTTGATTCCAGTATGGACCAGTCCCAGGGCACTGCTGGGGGGGGGGTCTCGCCCCATCGAGGGCCAGGCTGTCCCCCCCCGACCCACCGCTCGCCTTCCCCGCTCGCCCGGTGTGTACGTGCCATCTGGCGGCAAACCGCAGGAAAGAAAACACGCTGGAAAGCCTTTCTCGCCAAGGTTACGGAAGGAAAAGGGGCTGGGGGACCAGCCACCTTCAATTCGGCCGCTTTCAGGGGAAAGGGGTGAGCTGGGCGGCCGTCGGGGCAAAACCAGCGCGGCCCTTGTTCCGTCCTCCAGCGCAGGCGGGAGTTCGTTACAAGTCTGATTGCTGCTGGTAAATATTTTGCCAGGAGGTTGTTTTTCTGATGGAAGTAGCAATTTGCCTCCGTAGAGGTATTCTGATTTCTTATTGTGAGAGTTGAAAACTAAGAACAACCCGCAGAGTCTGGCTTTTAAAACTGCCCCTTTTTCTTTGCTTTCAATTGCCATTTTTTCCCTGTTACCTGGGCTTTTTCCCCTTCTTTTCATACTTTTTTCCTTTGCCATCCCCTCAGTGGGTAAAGGAGCTAAAGAGAAAGAGGAGAAACAATCAAAACTGGAAATCAAAGTCAACAGTCAGAAAATCTCCTCATATTTTCCGTCTCCGTTTTTTTAGGGTTTTCTTTCTGATAGAGGAAGAATGCAGGGAAATGGGCATTGAGGGACTCGGGTGTTTCTCCGTAAAATATTTATCAAACATTGATTATAACGCTGTAATATTTAAGCTCAGAATGATGTATGTAGATTTAGGGGGGGTTTTACTGCACAGAGAAAGTTAGTTGAGAGCACCCAAGTATGAACTGTCTTTCTGAAAATACGGCAACAGAAGAGAGATAAATGCAATAGATTATTATCCACTTGGTATTGAATAGGATTACAAGGAGCAGGGACATGCTGAGACAAAGATTTCATGAGGCTGTACTTCACCTCCATGTAAAGGAACAGTGCAAGGCCATGCATCACTTATGCCTTATTTATAGGTATTAAATAAGACTTTGCTAGAACATAGCTCTTGTGCTGACCCTCTGCAGATGGGTGAATTGCACCCTAAAGCAAATATAGGCAACTTGTATTATTCATCAGCCTCTGTTAATAGGGTTATTGCAGGCTGAGATGTTGCCTGTCTTGACTGAAGAGCAGACGCTGGCCTCGGTGACTTACGTTTGCATAATTATACTGTAAATTCTGTCCCGCTGTGTCTGTCTAATTGCATTTTTAAATAAGAAAAAATATTTATATACATGTAGGGCCTTTTTCCACAGCTTTTGAGGCCAGATTTACAAGTATTCGGGAGTAGAGGTGCTTGCAAAACAACTGAAAAAGAAAGTTTTGAGTCACATTTGTCTTGTTTGATAGCAGGAGGGAACCAGGAGCTTCTCCTGCCTGTCCAGGAGGGCAAGCCTGGGGTTTTTAGGATGTTCAGCCAGGATGAAACAAGCTCCTTCCCTACCAGGGGGGAATCAGCCTTTGTGGTCTACCTGGTGCACTAGGCCTATAAATACCCATTGGGAAGGAGAAAGAGGTCAAGTCTCCCAGGCAGAATTTTTCAGGGAGTTCTTGGTTTGGAGGGAGCAGCTCATGGTAAGAGATGCTGAAAACAGGTTCTTGAGAGACCTTCAAACACCAGCTCTGCTTGGCTTTATACTTTTATGGATTACTTTAGGCACTAAAACACTAATGAGGATCCAGATAAAGTTTTCTGACAATAAAAACAAAACTCGGGAGAAGCCATAAGGCCGGAAGAGTGGCCTTACAAACTTGAATGTGGTAAAAAGGGATAAAAGTGGAATAGCTCTGTAGACAAGCTGGTTTCGCTGTGTGTGTGCTCAGCAGCTGGGAAGGACTGAAAAGGGAAAAGCCTGTGTGTGGATCAGAGGATAATGCAAGTGGTCGAGAGGCTGCATTGAGAGAGGGGAGCTGGGTGGGTGTAGCTCAGCAGGAAAAAAGAAGCTGAGGAACCAGGAAAACCATTGAACCCAACAGTGCTGGCACCACAACTGGGTACAAACTGGCCTGGAACAGATGAAAGCTGGAAATTAGAAAGAGCTGTCAGAGCAGACCAGTGTCTGGGATGGAGAGGGGTTGGTCTTGCAGTCTCGTGGGGCCCTTTCTGGACCGGGCTCCCTATTTTAACTCGATGCCTCAAGTTTTAATAGGTTTTTCTCTATTAAATAAAGATGAGTGTTACCCTTTAGCGCAGTCGCCTTGATCAAAGCAGCACTGTTGCCACAGGCAGGGGACGGAGCTGGGCTGTTCTCAGGGCTCTTCAGGGGGAGGACGGAGGACAAGAGGCAAAAGGCACAAACGGAGATGCAGGAATTCTACTTACACACAAGAAAAAGCTTAGAAGCTTTTTCTTTTTTTTTTTTTTTTTTTTTTTTTTCCTTAAACACTGAGCCGTCAAACACTGGAATGGGTTGTCCAGAGAGGTTGTGGTGTCTCTGACCTTGGCGATACTCAAAGCCCAACAGTTCACAGCCCTGAGCAAGCTGCTCTGACCGATCCTGCTTGGAGCAGGGGTCAAACCTCAACTATTTTGTGGTTGAGCAGCAGAACCTCCCACCTCTTCTCTCCCTCCCAGGTGTGAGCCACTGTCAGAGCCGCTCTGCAACTGCCTGCACCTCGCCACCCCAATCTCCTCTTCCCAGGTGAGGAAAACCAAACCATCGCATCCCCACGTCCTTTTCCCCCGTTTTCCTTTAAGGGCTGGAGCCCGCATCAGCGCCCGCGTCTGCAGCTGCAAAAGCAGTTCTCTGCAGCCCTCTAGTGCTTAGGAAATTCATAGAAAAAAAAAAAAAAAAAAAGCAGAGTTTGCAACAGCCACGGGGAGGGGGGAAAGGGCAAGGACAGGCTGTGTCCATCACCTCCTTCCCAGCCCGGCAATGCGGGGTGCAGCCCCGAGCCCCAGCCCCGAGCTAGCCCTGGGCAGCCTGAGCAAAACATTTTTCCGTTGTGCCTCCTGTCACCGCTGCCACAATCCCACCGATGGCACGCCGATCCCTCATCCCCGCAGCAAAGAGAAGATGCTGATCTCCCGGAGCCCGCAGCAGTTCACCCAGGGCATTTTCCCCCCGGAGCTCACCCTACCGTTTGTATTTAAGTTATTTATCTTCCAGGGGAAGGCAAGGTAACTCTTTAAACATTGTTTTTCCTTGCAACACTAATTTAAAACAGAGGCTTCTATTTGCTAGCAGGACAGAGTACCAGCTGGTATTTACCTAAACAGTTTTAATGTTTAGTCAGGCTCCTGAGCTGCAGAAAACCTTCCCGCCAGAGCGGCCGTGCCAGCGTACAAAAAGAGCGTGTTGGCCACGCGAAGGGTAGATTGTTTTTGCAGCACCAACATCTGGTATGGAAATGATTTTACAGCTTCGTCCCCTGGAGCATCGCTGGGGGGGTGGGGGGGGTTCACTATAAGCCCCCCACGCCATGGGCATCCCTTCTCCCCTTCTCCCGCCTGCCCTGTTCGGCTCCCTGGACCCTTTCTCCACGCCTTCAGCCTTCCTTGCTTAGAGCACGTTCCCCCCACGTCCTGCAAAATCAAGGATGAGCACACCACACCTGGGAGGCCCCACCGAGGGAAAAGATTGGGAAAAGGGTACAATTTACTAGTCCCTTTCCTGACAGCTTTTGCCTGCTCATGTTAGGAGCGTGCGATACCATCTCAGTGACAAAAATACACACGGAGCTGGGAAACTTTCTGTTTCTGTTCCACGTCTGTCAAAGACGCCCCTCCAATTTTAATTTTAAAAAATCAAACCCCTTTTGCCAAATGACAACCGCAGAAATTTAAAAGTTAATTACATCAAATGCAGTTGCTTTCCAGGCTCTTTCTGATAAAATCCTGAAAAGCTTCTTTACAATTGGATTTCTCCCACAAATCTCCACTTCCACAAAAGAAGCCGTCTGCATATAAAATACTTTGAATGATTAACTTCCCTGGAGCTTCAGAGACAGATACCAACTACATTGAGACAGGTCAGCTGTGCCATATAGCTCTAGGATTAAGCTCTTCCCCGTCCCCATGCTGAGTCCCAGGTCCTCCCCCACGGTGCAGGCAGCCTGGGCCCATCGCAATTTTTTGCTTTTTTCCCCAATCAAACGGGGCGGGATTTCTTTAAAATGAGTCGCCTGGTCTTTGGCTTCTTGGTGTTGCCTTTACGGAGCTGAAAAGCCGCCGTGCTGGGTTTTGTCCCCGGCAAAGTTCAGAGGCTCAGCCGGGAGGGAGCTGCCTTTGCCTTGTCCCCGTGTTGGGCCAGCGAGCAGAAAAAGTCCGTGAACAACCACCTCCCCCGTTAAGGTGACAATGTGGCTTCACAAGGGCCAAGTCTTTGCAAGGACTTAGGGGCAGAATTTAAAAACAAGGCAGAAAAGCAACTAGTGGGGGTATGCCCATGAATCTTAGGAGCCGGTCCACAAATTGAAAAGCATTTGGGGATTTAAGTAGAAGCTGTTGTAGAAATCCCCCTCAGGAGAAGAGGAATCTCAGCTACTCTCCTTCACCACCCATCCAGGCTGAAGCTGCCTTAAAAGAAACAACCTGAATAACCTTGTCATTTCAATTTTTCACACATTTTTCTGTGCTGTGTGTTCTCAAGATCTGGGAAGTTTAATTTTCCCAGCACGACTGCCAGAGGCTGCTAGTCCCTATCAGGGCTCGCTCAGCCACATCAAAGGGAACAGGACACATCAGAGGGGAGCAGAAGGGCCGCGGTCCCGTCCCGGGGGGCCGAGGGGATGCCACGGGCTCTGAAGCATCCCTCGGCTTCGGGAAACAGGGTCGGATTAGCAAAACGTGTTATCGGTGCTGTCGCGATTCCCAAGCCGAGACTCTGTCACCTCTCCTAGGTTTTACCTGAGCGAGGCTGGTGCGCTGGGAGAATCACAGCCAGACCCTTGTCGAGGTGGCGTGGGACGCCGTTTTTCAAAAATCACTCCTCTTCCAAAAAGCGGCAGGAAGACGACGATGCGATGACAGCCCTTGCAAGCGTTGCGCCATCATCGCATCACAGAAAACGGGTGCAAGTAAAGGAAGCAAGAATGTTAAAAGGCGCCGTTTCCCTGGTTT